CTGCCTAAGAAGAGGTGATAAAAGCATGCATGGCAAAGAAGGAATACTCCAAGTGGATACTTGAATAGGTGAAACCATTCAGAGGGAGATCAGATGGCCACAGAAGAGGGGAAGTGAAGACACACAGGAGCCTTCCTCCTGCAGACCTCGGGTGGATCGGCTTGAGGTTGGCATTCGTACAGAGGCTGCATTTAGGAGATGCAGCAGGTACCTGCGCGAGCCGCTCTGGCTCCAAGGGAGATAGAGAGGGAGATACTGGTTTGACTTCACCCAGTATCTGCCCAGGACACAGATATACACCAGCGAACAAGCATGAGGCACACCGTACAAAAAGAATAAAAAAGCAATAGGCCCCTTAAAAACATATTTAATACTTTTCAAACTTTATTTCATGGTGATTGACGAAAGACACAAGTTAGTAATGGTTATATCATGCTGCTCCTCTACTGTGCATTGCCCTTCAGAATTCATACAGCAGTTCACAATGGTCATTAATTTACCCTATAAATGAAGCCACATGGACTTTTTTTTTTAAAAAAAAGGCAAAAAAAAAAAAAAAACCCAGAAAAAAACCAAACCTCAATGTCTTTTTTTTGTACATACATGTTATAAACGCTATTAAAAATAAAGCCGAAGTTAAGTGCACAGCCCCTAGGGAGCACTGCTGAATCTGACCTTGGTTCAAGATGCTTGACAACGAGGACGCAAGGTCCTGTTTTAAGGCATTTCCAAGCCCCAGCAAAAGCAGACAGAGTTTTTGTTTTTATTTAGCTGTTGTTTTTTTTTTTCTTGCAGTGACCCTGGCTTCATTTCAGTGGCATTCCAGAAAATTAGCAGCTTCCTCTGCGCGTGCCCCTCTCCCTCCGGAGTTGGCACGTTCAGCCCTCGGTCTCCGCCAACGTGGTTGCGTCGCCCGGCTAGAACCCACGTTCTCAAAACGCAGATCGAGGGTCTCGCACTTCCCTCCCGTCCCACCCCATCCTGCAGTCCTAGTTAGCCCCCCGTCTATCTACACCTCGTGATCAAAATACAGCACTCCATCCCTTGCACGACACAGTCACAGTACTCCCCACCAGGAACCACAATTTATATACAGTAGCCACTTTAAAATGTGGTATTGCCGCACGCACAGACACACACACACATATCCCGGAGGCTCCATCCCACAAAGGGTGCAGCCCCCCGTGAAATATTTACCCACTGGATTTTTAGAGGAATGTCAATAGATTAGGCACAGATTTGGCAGGGGATGGGGTGGGGGGGTGTAGATTTCTTTTAATTTAAAAAAAAAAACCAAAAAACAAAACCCAAGTGGTTTTACACTACATTCTTACCCTTTGTTACATCTGTGTTCAGAGCTCACACTGAGAAATGTAATTTGACTTTTCATGGCTCAAAATTTAGTGCCAAGAAACAATGTTTTTAAAGGGTGCACTACTTTGTAAATGTACACTACAAGGTGTGCTGGAAATTTAATGGTAAAACTGCAAAATGATGGCACCCTGGATATTAATTAACACTTGATACATGGCGGAATCCTTCCGATTAATTCTGTACGCTCCGTAAAGCGGGTTTTACACAGAGCAATGCCAGCTGCCATCTCAGGGTGGGAAAGGGACCCAGTTGTGTCCCAGTGGGAGAAAGGGACATAGATGCCACACAGCATCGGTAAATTCTTCCCAGGGAGAAGGAACCTGAATGGAGTGGGTCATTTCTTTCGTAGCTGCAATCCGTTTGTTCTTCTCCTGCTTACAGGAGATTTAAGCGTTTGCACGCAGAGGTGTGCGCTGGTTGACAGACACTCGCAAACACACACACGCGTTCATTCAGAAACACACGTACTGGCTTTGTAACCGGCACCACAGTATTCGCTTTCAAGGTTTGCACAGAGGAAGACATTACTTAAAAAGCCTCCTCTCAAACACTACTGCCTCGACAGCTCGCTCACGCCCCATTCCCATTCCCATGGAAGCTATTGCTGCTGGGCTGGCCGTATCCAGAGGAGCTTTGCTCGTGGCGTGGAAGACCCTGCATTGCACTGAGCATTGCAAAAACTTGAAGCCAAAGGTAAAACTCCAATTACTCTTCATGGGAGAGGCTCTAATACCAGCTCTACAGCTTCACAGCTGGCCAGCTGCAAGCATCCTCATGGTAGACAGAGGGCAAGTCACGCCCGGAGGCTGGAAAACGGACATGGGTCATGGAAAGACACATCCAACAGACTTTTTTTTTTTTTAAAGTGAAAAGGGACCCAGTCCCCACGCCCTCGCAGCCTGTTTTTGACAGTGCTGGAAGAGGGAGAGCACTTCCAGCTCTTGAAGACGTGCTGCAAGTTGTCACTGGTGCACGGGAGGGCAACGCTCGGTACACAGAAGCTCTTGGGAAGAGCAGCCAGGGCAAGCAGGTGGTTAGGACATGTCTGGATAAACACAAAGCGTGGAAATGAGGTTTCACAGCTGCTTCTGCACATGTCCAAGAGGAGGAGGAGGAGGAGGAGGAGGAGAGCCAACAGAGAAATCAACATTTCCCCCACAGCACCTCTTAGTCCAGCAAACAGTCATAGGAGAACCAAAGAGCAATGCTTTTCTGCCTGCTCAGAGCAGACCTTGGTCTCTCTTCCAGTGCATGGCATCCCTGATTTTAACAGAGCATAAAGGAGAAAAGCACTTGAGATTCTTACACACATAAATTATAGTGAGAGGAAGGCGGGGAGGAGGGAGATAGGGTGAACACAGTGCCAGGAGAAGGCTTGGCCGAGCCAGGTGCCAGAGCAGGGTGGCAACTCCTGCTTCTCTCCGATGGCCACCTCCCTGCTCAGCCCGCACTGCAGAAGGGACTTTGGGGCCAGGCCTGAGATGGGACGGTGGTGAATCCGCAAAGGCCACACGTCTCGCCAGCACCAGCATCCTCTCCCCCGCAGGTGTGAACAACAACCCAAGAACGCAAGTAAGGAGGGGGAAAAATAACCCAGAAAGAAGCTTCAAGTATGAATAAGATTTACAATGCAGGTGCAATGGGGAAGTTCTTCTGTCACTTCTTGGAGACTTGGTTCAAGGTTTGTTCTTTGTTGCTGCTGTTTGATTAGAGTCTGACTGACCTGGATAGACTGCAACCGAACAAATAACCCAAAAGAAAAGGTGTTTCCTCCCCTCCCAATCCCCCCTCCCCCCAAAATATAAAAAGCAATAAGTTTACAAAAATAGAAAATAATTACAGCAATAGGCAGGAGGGAGGGAAGGAGAAGGAAGGGTCCCTGGGGGTCTATTTGGCTGAGCACTGTAATATCGTGGGGTTGTTTAAAGCGTCCTCCACCAGATGCAGTTCTTGGCGGTCGACAATCACGTCCCTTATGCAGCCGATAAAGCCAGTGCTGTATGCCTTGGGCAGCTTGTGAGCCACGCTCAGCTTCTCCATTCCCCCTGCAAGAGACAGCACAGATGGTCGGGTGGGAGGACAAAGGACACGCCGCTGTGCGTGGCAGTGTCGCACACTCAGGTACACACACACACACACACACGTGCAGTGCAGGCGCTGCTGGGAACACCCTCCTCAACAGCAGGGAAAAACCTCTTTCCTGAATGGTATTTATTTTCATGTAAATCAGAGAAATACCAGTTCCAACCAATACATACAGGTTTCCTGAAGACACTTAAAACAGTAGCTTGTCTTCTAAAATAGCGGTCCAACTTAAAATACTTCTTTTCCTTGGAGGTTGGTCCCAAATTCAAACTGAATTTTATTTCTATTACTGAAATGTTATCTATGGCTCATTCCAGGCCCTGAAATTACAAAGGGCTGATTGCAAACAAAACCTTTGGAAGAGCCAGTGGGGAAGCCGAGCAAAAATTTCTCATGGAAAAATTCTGCTTTCCTCATAACTTCTAGGTTGATTTCAGAACGAGAAATGGCATCTGGGATACTGTCTTTCAGAGCTGAGGCTACATTTTTGAATATGAACTCTTTGTAAGTCAGGTTAGACCTGAAACTACAGGCTTAGACTAGGAAGATAAGAACAGATGCTTCCGAAAAGTGTGAAGAGAATCCAATTCACTGGTCCTTTGTTACAGATGACCAAAATCCCCATTTCTGCCCATTGATTTCTGTGGCCCTTGTGCCTCCTCGCAAACCTGCGGGCTCGGACTGCTACAGCACCGGCCTGAGGAGAAGCCCAGCCCTAAACTTAGAGATGGAGAGTTGGAGTCATGCGAGTTCCTCAAGAGACGAACAAAGCCCAGGACCTGCCACATCCCTTATCACTGAGCATCCTTCTTTCATCCCTTCAGGCTCCAAAGAGGACTTTACTATCCTCTTAGCTCAGATTAGTACTGGTTGTATTTAAATGCAACCATCCTACGCTTGTGGGTGGATTTTTTTTGCCGATTCGAGCTGTTACAGGACAAATCTAGCCTCTGTCTGTGCTGACAGATCTGCCACAGGCAGCGTGAGATAGATGCAATGGGCCAAACTCTGTTTGCAGGATCAAAATATTTATGTCAACACAAGTGGAACAGACTCTGCCGCACACACGGGCAGCTTCTGGCATGTCTGCTTATTCTGTTCTGCAAATAAAACAACATTTAAAATCTGGGTATTTACACATAATTTCCAAATAGAAGCACCCTTCTGTCCATTCAGCCGTTTCACCTTTGGTAGGCTTGTGAACTAATAGAGGCTCCCACATGTGGGAGCACTCCCAGGTTGAAGAGGGAGAGGGTGCTCCATGCCACCAGCAGCAGGGGATCCAGAGCCACCGGCCAGCTAACCCCTCTCTCCACGGGACATGGTAACATGGAAAGGACTGGCGTTTGGTCAAGCCAACCCTTCGTCCCTCAGCTGTCACCAGCATCCTGCCCTAGTAGGCAGAGAACGAGTTGGGGATTTTTTTAAGTCAAACTTGTCGAAGCCACCTGGGAGGCAAAGGTGTCCCATTGAAACAAGTGAGGGAGCATCAACGGCCCAGCTCCCGCTCCGAGCCTTGCAGCGAGGGGCGCAGAGGAGGTTCAGCCTTTCCGCACCGACTTCCCCAGCCACAGGGCCCCATCGGTATCTAGCTGTGTTGCACCAAGCGGAGAAGAGCCAGCGATGGGGGCTTCGTTGCCGACTTGAAGGGAGCCTTCTCTCTGTACCCTGCTCCCGGAGGGAGGGAAGAAGAAACAGATGATGATCAGCAACCTTAGAGAAAAAGACCCCAGAGCTGCCCTCTGCTTTACGCTAAATCCAGACCCTGGGCACCATCAGCCCTTCTCCACCTGGAGAGGAGCGGGGAGCAAAGCTCTCCCCCAGGCCACGCAGCACAGGGCAGCCCTCGGTGCAACGCCTGCCCGGGGCAGTGCCACACGGCTCCCCTCCAGCATCCCCCGCGCATCCCCCGGCCCTGCCAGCGGCCACAGCTTCCTCCAGACCCATCAGCAGAAATCCCCGGCATGCCAGCCGCATGATCCGCTCACCACTCCCACCACCAATAAAAATAAAAGGGACGGCTCGGGCTCAACACGAACAGAATGTAAAACCCTCAGCCAGCTAAAATAAAAGGCACGAACCTTTCGTACCTCCTTGAATCTGCCCCTTTGACATTTCCAGGCGTGTCACAACACGCACCCCTCCAACGTGGCGCTGCCCACGTGCCTCTCCTCTATTATTATCCAAGAAGAGGAGTGACCCTTGGGGATGACAGGGCACGGAGCTACGGCCACGACTCAGGCTCCCTAATTAATTCACAGCTTGCCCAGCCCAGAGCAATCTGCCACGGTCCCGCTTGCCTTCACACCTGTACGCTTTGATGTGGATCCACCGGTTGGTGTTGACTGGGACCGTGGATCGTAGGACGACTGGCTTGGAGCCGAGATCGTAGGTCATTTGTACGAAGCCATCCACTATGGCGAGGGCAATGTAGTCTGATCGCTCCAGCCCTTTCCCACTCCACAGGATCAGCCCCTGAGTGGCTTCTGTTTTGATGCTTAGTTCAAAGTGGTTCGATTGCAAGGCCTTCTCGCTGCACGGGGAGATGGAAGCAGGGGAGAAGACAGAGCGGAGTTAAAAACATGACTACAAAAGCAACAGGCAGCCAGTCAGCTCCTCGGAGCAGCCTTCTCCGTTCCCAGCAGACTAGCTCACCTGCTGAGGATAACCTTCAGCAGACCTTTGGCATCAGGCTACGCACGGGGTCTCGGTCCCTACCTGCTGCACTCGAGGGGTCGCAGCCTTTGCAATATCCCAGGCTTGCTCAGGTGGCCTGGTGCATGGGGGGGGGAGCAGATGGAAAGCTCTGAACCAGGCCACAGATTCAAAGAAATGGGCCTCTGGAGTTCTCCAACCCAGCTCCCACTCAGAGTAGGACCGGTGCCAGATGAGGGCAGCTGAGGCTCTTGGGAACACCAAGAAAGGAGCTTCCCCATCTTC